TGGCCCAAGGTAAAAACTTCATTGTCATCTTTAGATGCTGGAGTGAGCTTTCCCATGGGCGTTTCCACATGGGCGTTGCCACATAAGAACACATGGTTATAAAAAATCATGAGCCCTTTAAAAGTTACCAACAACCATTGAGAAAACTGAACTATTTCTAAAGGCTCTGCCAACCTTTTAAAGCTTCAATGACTACAATCTTTTGCTGACACAATTCAGTTCAGCAACCAGGATGTAGTGGGAGCTCTCCAGAGTCCTTAAGGCTGCTCACTGGAGCCTGGCATGACTAGACCAATGTGAATTGACCAACCTTGACCTGAAAGTTAGTTCAGCCTCACTAAGTTTTGCCTATCATACTTGACTGAATCTGACCCACTATATCTTGACTGATCTGCTTTACTGAAACCTGATCTGACTTATTTCACATTGAATTTGTTCAATACAGCTCACGTCTTTCCTCGCGAACTCATAGCCTTGAGAAAACAGGATAGTTGATGTGCTAAAGTTATGGAACACCCCTTCCATTGCATTAAGGACCTCACACCATTTCACTCTCCTCAAAATAAGCTGCATCCTCTCTCCCGTGCAGCCCATTGAGTGCCAAGATTACGTCACTACTGAAGACTCTCCATGAAACGATGTCTGTACAATTACCAGTTAATTTCCTTGTTCCTGGCACATTAAATATTTGACCACCCCAGTTGTCATCCTGCCTGGCCTTACTTCAGTCTCCTTGTACACTGTCTATCAGCTTTTCAGGCTGCCCTCAGCTGGCTACTCTTCCAGTCCTACAAGTTCTGGGACAGAGAACAGCTTTGTTTTCAGAGGTTCGGACTCACAGCTTTGTTGGTTGCCACAAAAGGGTGCCTTACGTTGCTGATCAACATTTATCAAAGCCTGCTATTCTTCAAGATCTAGAATTTTCTGGATATTATCGTTGCTTTATACAAGAATCTTCACAAAGAAATGCCATTTCCCACCACTAATGTGACATAAGATTTGCTTCTTATAATGAAGAGACTCATCCTTACTTATATGAATTGTGCAGATTTCATTTCTATAAAAGAACTAGCACTCATCTAATGATTTCAGATTACTGGGTTCAGTTTTCATGGGAAACAACCAGGAATCTTCCAAGCAATTTGGCAACATTAATTTCTGTTAGTCGAGCTAACCATTTATAGGCAATACTTTAAACTCAGTGACTATACTGTCACAAAACAATCATACCAGGTTCTGGATAATTTATTCATGGGCAAGCAGGGAGGTATGCTCTGTCCAACTGCTCCCATTTGTCTTCTCCCTGCATCAGAAGCAGCTTCAGCAGCCAGTTCCTACTAATAGAAAAAGTTCAGTGCTAAATCTAAGCCAGCTTACCTATCTCAAACAATCTAAGAACTGTAAGCCAACATCCCGCACTGTCTTCAGATTCTTTCCAGGAGCAAATCAGGCCTTTTCATTAAATGTAATATAAACCTTACTATTATTATTATTATTATTATTATTATTATTATTATTATTATTATTATTATTTTATTTGTACCCCGCTAGCATCTCCCGAGGGACTTGATGCGGCTTACATAGGCCAAGGCCTCAAACACAATACAACAATACAATACCTAAAGCAAATTAAAATAGTTAAGCAGAATAAACGACAACAATAACAATGCATAAAGACAACAAGACACAATAAAACACAATAAAATTGGGCCAGGCCGGGGTACAGGGTACAAAATTAAAAGTGCTGATGTGGCAGGAGGTATGAAGGATTATAAAATAGGTGCAGTGTGCGGTGTGCAGTGGGCTTAGTTCTGCTAAAGTGCTTCTAGGATTTGGTACTGGGGGGTTCCTAATCTGAAAAGGCACATCGGAACAGCCAGGTTTTCAAGTTCTTTCGGAAGACTGCCAATGAAGGGGCCTGTCTGAGGTCCCTTGGGAGGGCGTTCCAGAGTCGGGGGGCCACCACAGAAAAGGCCCTGTCTCGAGTCCCCACCAAGCGTGCTTGCGACGCAGGCAGGATCACGAGTAGGGCCTCTCCAGATGACCGAAGTGACCGTGTGGGTTCGTAGATGGAGATGCGGTCACGCAGGTAGGGTGGTCCCAAACCGTTCAGGGCTTTGTAGGTAAGCACCTGCACCTTAAATTGGGCTCAGAAAATAAACGGCAGCCAGTGGAGCTCCTTGAACAGGAGGGTTGAACTCTCTCTGTAATGAGCCCCGGTTAACATCCTGGCTGCTGCCCGTTGGACCAGTTGGAACTTCCGAGCCGTTTTCAAGGGCAGCCCTACGTAGAGCGCATTGCAGTAGTCCAGTCTAGAGGTGACCAAGGCATGGACCACCCCGGCCATTTTTCTTCTCAATGTGTTCCTAGCTGCTACTATTATTCATAAAAAAGCCAAATGAAACAAACAACAAACATTTGCAAAGTACTAATACGTGATAAGCAAACATTCTCTGGCATTCTAGTTTATAATTGTTTGTAAATATTGCCAATCTCTCCATAAAAACAGTATCTCAACAGCTCCACAACACTATCTATATAAATAAAAATGTAATGTTCATTTGTGGGATTAACAGAACTCAAAAACCACTGGACGAATTGGCACCAAATTTGGACACAATACACCTAACAACCCAATGTATGTCCTTCACTCATAAAACACTGAAAAACACAGCAGAAGGGACTAAATGATGAAAAGCTAAATGACAATACAGAAAAAAGGGAAGAAAGAGGGAGGGAAGGGGAAAAAAGAAAGAAAGAAAGAAAAGAAAGAGGGAGGGAAAGAAAGAAGGAAAGGGAGAAGGAAGCATGGAAGCAAAGAGAGAAGGAAGGAAGGAAAGAGGTAGAGAAGGAAGAAAGGAGAGAAAGAGGGAGGGAAAGAAAAAGGGGGAAGGAAGGAAAGTTAGAGAAGGAAAGAAAAAAGGGAAAGAAGGAAGGAAAGAGGGAGCGAAGGAAGGGGGAAGATGTAGAGAAAGAGGGAGGGAAGGAAAGAAGGAAAGAGAGAAGAGGAAGGAAAAGAAAAAGAGGGAAGGAAGGAGGTAGAGAAGGAAGGAGAGAAGGAAAGGGAAGGAAGGAAAGAGGGAGTGAAGGAAGGAGGGAAAGAAGGAAAGAAAGAGGGAAGGTTGGCCACAGCAACACGTGGCAGGTACAGCTAGTAAATAAGTAAAAATAGTTAAGTTAATCGGAGTTGCATCACATCATAACTGCTCTTCTATTTAAGAATGTTTTGATTATAGATTTTGATTGTCTTATTTAAATAGACACACAACAGCGTATGAATTAGTGGCTCAACACATACGATAAATCAACATCAGTCAGTTTTTGAGGATCCTCTTCCAGTTCCTCAGATATGTGCCATCCTGTGCCTTGCTGTTAGAATCTTGGGAAATCCCCTGCCAACAAGAGATTGGTGGTGGGCCCTTAAATATTGGATTAAGATCAGTGCTTTCAACCTGGGCTCAGGTCTGATTTACCATCTAGTCCAGGATAATTACACTAGCAACTGCTTCAAGCTTAACACTAAAAAAGGCCTCTTCTATTGGCTCTCTTACTTCCTATTATCTCATTTGGGTTATGGCATGAGACTTAAATCTATCAAAGACCAGTGGTTCTCAACCTGTGGGTCCCCAGGTGTTTTGGCCTACAACTCCCAGAAATCCCAGCCAGTTTACCAGCTATTAGGATTTCTGGGAGTTGAAGGCCAAAACATCTGGGGACCCACAGGTTGAGAACCACTGATCAAAGACTATAGGGCATTCCCTTCTATGAGTTGCGTTCCTGCTCATGCGTTTCTTGTTTCCCAAGTGCCCTGAGCATACATTATGTTGGTCCTTTTTATGAAACAAATTATCTAAAGAACTTGACTGTGGCCAAATATCGCTGCTTATTCTCCAAGGCAATGTGTTCCCATCTGAAGTGCTTCGAGGCAGATTTGTGGGAGTCCCATACAATGCAATACTTTTCTCTTTGGATGTTGAATGTACATATCACATCTCATTGTCCTGCAGTTTTTATAAACAGGCTTGGCTACATATTATTAACCCACTACTGAGAAACCTTCCTGGTAGCTCAGGAAGTATATTTTTTACAAGGTGACAATTCCAAGTATATTTTTTACAAGGTGACAATTTCCCCCAGGGGACCTTGGCTGTTGCCAAGTTTCTCTCTGAGATAGCCAGGATAAGACAACTTCCTGTATTAGACTCAAGTTGAAACTTTGCAGTGTTTTTGCCTATGTCCATATGCATCGAGAATTTCACTCATTTATAAATCTGCTGTACCCTTTTTCTGCTGGACACATTGGTCTTTGGACCGTAATAAAGACTGATGATGACGATAATAGTCACACAACACATGCAGTGTATCTGTGCTGGAAATTTAGAGTCAGCTCATGCATATATATTTACTGATGCACATAAAACCACATCACAACATACACTGACAACAATGCTGTCTGCTAAATGATTCTGAATTAACTGTTTGAAATATTTGTGAAATATGCAAATCTGCTGCTCTGGCCAGAGTGAAGACAGGGGGGAGCAGAAGACATTTCCATCTTGTCTTCTGTCTATATCATCAGTTGGCAGGCCCCTCCCCCCTCTGGCACCAACTGCTGCTCTGGCTATTGTCACTTCCATTCAGTTTGTCAGTGTTACCAATTAATCACTGTTTACAGTAACAACAAGAAAATCAGAGGCTACCACATTTTTATAGCTTTACATGTCTCAAAAATCAATTCCCATTAAATGGAGAAAAAAGGATTTTGATATACTCTATACTTACATGGCTAATAGAAACTTTTAATGTATATGTAAAAGCTCTCTTGATTATATGTCTTTATGCTACTCAAGGGAGAGAGATGTTATTTTTTTTATCAAGATTACAATTAACTGCCATCATCTTGTGCTTAAGATGTCAATTGCAAAATTCCAAAAATCATCAAAGTTATATGAGCAAAACAATCAATCAATCCCAAAAGTGTTATAGAAAAGACTACTCACTTGTTTATTAGTAGGCTGACTTTGAGGTAGAGATCCGGGAGCCAACACAGGTGAGCGTGTAGGACTGCAAAGCTCAGGAAAGGGATTTGGTATGGCAGGCAAAGAGGATGTTCTGAATTGTTGCTCCTCCTCTTGCAGCCGTCTGCAGAACAAAGTTGGGAACTTATCATTAGCCTTGGATAAAGCTGGTGCTGATACAATCTCGGTTATAGTTAAGGCTACCAGGTCAAGAAATTTACAAGTGAGATAAAATAAAAACACATGCTACCATGAATTGCTGTCTATCCCTGAATAATGCTTAAAAGACCTAAAGCACTTCATTGGCATTAGGCCACCAGAGAAGTATTTTCCAAAAGAGAACTGAAGCTCAAACTAACAGGTGGACATCCATTCAAAGATAGGATGGGAGGCTTGGATTAGAAACAATGAGCTATGCAGCTAAGTAGCACAATCACTATCCACCAGAAGAGGGGATCCAATCTAAAAACATACTGTAATGCAAGGAATTGTCTCCCTTACCATATACATCATGATGAGACCTCAAGATAGACACCAGATGGTCAAATTTCTATTAGAATATACAACAAAATCCAAAGCATTTGGATAATTCATTCAATAGATACGTCTGACAAGTCAAAACATCTAGATTGCCCACTCATTGCAGAATACTTAAATTGTTGTTGTGTGCTTTCAAATTGTTGTGTACCTTCAGGTTGCTTGCAACTTATGGTAACCCTAAGTAAAACCTATCATGAGGATTTCTTGGCAGGATTTATTGAGAGGAGGGTGTTGTACTTACCTTCCTCTGAAGGTGAGAAAGAGTGACTTGACTTGGTTGGTTGGTTTTCAAGGCCAAATGGGAATTTGAACCCCTGAGTCCTAATTCAACCTACAATACACTCTCTTAATATTGGAATTAGATATAAATTCCAATATAAATTCCAATGGACTACATCAGGAGGCAACTCAATGAATGAACTGAGGAGACAAATATTTGGCCAATGCATTTAGAGCTAATATATTGCTTGCTTTATAATAGTTTTCAGTATAGCCCTCATAATCCTTGGCCTGTACAGCCAGAACTAGTAGATAAAGTCTGAAGCATCAGAAGGAGGCAGCCTGTACAGTATTTAATTGGCTTGAATGGTTTCACATTTAACACCAATTAGAATTTGCAGGTTGATAACCTCATCTAAATAACACTTTGAAATGTAAAGTTAAATAATAAAGCAGATGAAAGCTGAAATTGATAATGTTGTTTATTTTATTGTCTATGTTTTTTTTTATTGCTGGTATTGTTGTTTTATTACTTGTATTGTTGTATTTGGGCTCGGTCTCATGTAAGCCGCACCGAGTCCCTTGGGGAGATGGTAGCAGGGTACAAATAAAGTGTTATTATTATTTATTATTATTATTATTATTATTATTATTATTATTAAGCATTTACACTTATGTTTAATTAATTAGAGAAAACATGTAAATATAGATATTTGGCAATGCAAGCAGTCTCCAAAGTACAAAAAAAGGTTCTATAGGTTTGTTTTTAAGTTGAATTTGTTTGTAAGTTGGAGCAGGTGTATTTTTAAGTGTAACTCCAGCATACATTTGGATAGCATAGGAAAGGGTTAACACCCCTGTGGTGTTTGTTTTGCTTTCTGTGCCCCTGTTCAGAAGATTTCACTTCATTTTCTGGAGCCCCCGGTGGCGCAGTGGGTTAAACCCCTGTGCCGGCAGGACTGAAGACTGACAGGTCGCAGATTCAAATCCGGAGAGAGGCGGATGAGCACCCTCTATCAGCTCCAGCTCCTCATACGGGGACATAAGAGAAGCCTCCCAATAGGATGATAAAAACATCAAATCATCTGGACGTCCCCTGGGCAACGTCCTTGCAGACGGCCAATTCTCTCACACCAGAAGCGACTTGCAGTTTCTCAAATCACTCCTGACATGACCAAAAAACACCTCATTTTCTGACCCTGTGATCATTGGATTTAGGAAGAAAGGCTTGTTATGGAAACAAGGAGTAGTGTCAGTGGAGACACCTTTCCCCTATGATAACTCATTCAGAACTGAATTTCCCTTCCTAGGGGCAGATTTCTCTCGCTTCCTGTTGTCTCACCCCCATTCTTACTTATAAGTCATTTGTAAGTCAGTCTCAGAGACTGACTTACAGCATATAATCCATTCTTTTCTATTAAAAAATAATGGCGTTGGTTTTGCACTGTTTTTGTTTTTGCTCTACTATTTACACACACCGCCTAGCACTGAGAAGGAAACAAGCGCCATACTCAAGCAACTGTACTTAAAATTTCAACCATAATCACATACCAACTGATTTAAAATGCTGTTCATTCTTCTAGCCTTGCCTTCCTGAGGAACTTTCACCTCAAAAAGGCAATTCTCCAATTGGAATGTCAATGACCCCAATGCCAAATCAATTGCCCCTCTCCACAGAAGACTAAAAGTTGTCTGTTGGCATAAGTCACCTCGCCCCTGTCTCCTATTCCTTGCCTCTTCTCAAAACTTCCAAGAGATATCTGGATGGTTATTATGTGTAGCAAGATGTTGAATTAGATGAACCTTTGTTCCGGGTTTTAATCCCAGCATTAAACGAGTTATCCAAAATATTGAGCCCAATTCACAGAATTGGTTGAAGACCTTGGATAACTCCTCTAAGGTTAGATTAAAACCAATAATTGATTCATTGCCACCCTGATGTGGAAGTCATCACTATGTTACTTTTGGGACACACTCACTTGCCAAGATTAGGTAGCCCCTTATTTCCTGAGGAGAAGGGATAAAGGTCATGGCTTTACTGCTTCCATACCTGACTGCCATGATGCGTACTGGCTGAGACCTCTGTATTTTCTGTCTTGGAGACACAAGATGCAGTGAATTTGCTCCTGGCAGCTGGCTCCGATTAAGCTGGCCATTCTGAATGAGTGGTGTGCTTTCTGAATGCATACTATAGGTGGAGTACAGACTTTCAAATGAGGAGTTCATGTCGTTAACTAAAGCTTCCAAGTCCACATCATCATCTGAAAGGATGCAAAAAGATATACATACGGAACATAAGCAGCAATAGAAGATGTGGAAAAACTGATGTTATTTGCATATTTTTAAATAGTACATGGATTGCTCAGAGAGATAGTACATATTAAACTGTTCCTTATGTCATGTGAAATCATAATTATGGTAGCTGTAGCCAAAAACATTTGGAAGGCACCATCCTGAGGAAAGCTAGTTTAATACTACAATTATTTAAACATGGTTTCTTCCAAAGCATACACTTTCTTAAAAGCAACTGGGCTTTCTGAACTGGGCTAGTCCTCTTTGCCTTAAGACCATGATGGCGAACCTATGACATGCATGTCAGCACTGACACACGTAGCCAGGCATGTAGCCACGGGGGGGGGGGGGTTGGATCTCAAGATCCGTCTCCAGTGGGGAACAAAGAACAGTCATTTTTCCATTCAATGTTGTTGTTCATTCGTTCAGTCGTCTCCGACTCTTCGTGACCTCATGGACCAGCCCACGCCAGAGCTCCCTGTCGTCTGTCACCACCCTCAGCTCCTTCAAGGTCAGTCCAGTCACTTCAAGGATGCCATCCATCCATCTTGCCCTTGGTCGGCCCCTCTTCCTTTTGCCTTACTGGTGCATTATTTGAACTGTTATGTTTATTCATATCATGATCTGATCACCCTACTCAATATATCCCATATGCATGGGGGTATTGGGGTAACAATACAAAAGGTTTGCTAGGGTAGACCCTCTTTCACTCGGACTCAGCCCCCCCCCCCCACCCCCCAAAATAAAACTCAGCCACCCCCCCCCCCCGAAACAAATTCAGCCCCCCCCCCTCATCGAAATCCTGGCTACGGGCCTGCGTGTAGCCATTTTTGATGACATACGGTTGCATACAGAGAAATATGGGGCTACATGCCGAGAAGGATGTTTCATCCTTGGCTCCTGCATGGCCAGGAGCAGTAGCTGAGGATGAAACATTGGCTGTAGTGTAGACACTCTGTGCCAGAGATCTGTAGACCAAAACAACAGAACTCTGGCACAGAGCGTCTACTTCTGGGATTTCTGGTTAGGCCGTTAGGGGATCTTTGAGCAAGGAGCAGCGGAACGCCACAGGGAAAGCATCCCTGTGGGCGCTGTGATCACCATTACCAGCAACCAAATAACCACATCATCCAATCTACTGTTCTGGGGTGTCGTGGATTTGTAAACAAAATCCAAAAGAAATAGATTGACAGATGAAGTTAGTACTACTTGCTTGGGCTTGAAGATTTAGTCAATAAAATAGAGCAACAAAAAAGTCACTAATAGGCAGGCTAGTTAAAGAATTACTTTTCCCCTTTAGTTCACGGCACCCCATACAAGTTAAATAATATCAAGACCAACAAAACAAACCAACTGATGGATGAACAAAGAAGACACTAAGCAGGTAAGTTAAATAATTCTTTTTTTGCTTATTAAATGCAGTTACATATTACAATTATACATTTTTGTTATTTAAACTATAAATATCACAAAACCATGTGTTTTTTTCCCTTGAAGTGACACCCCACCTGAGTTATGCTCTGTTTTTTGGAGAGTTTTGACACACCAAGCTCAAAAGGTTGCCCATCACTGCCTTAAGAGTTAAAAGTTACTTTATCAGTGATCATGAGAATGCCAGATATGGGGATAGATATGCATTATTTCGATACTAAGGGAGATAGAAGGAAGCTGTTTTGCTGTGAGGATATTTACTCCTCAATATCCACAGCTTGATAGCTGAGGATTTTCTTTTTAACAGCTCCCTATGTAATGTGCATATGTAGATCACCTTAGTTGCCTTCACCATGCAATGTGGTTTATACTAAAACACGCTGATGTGAATTAAGGACTCTATTTCAGAGTATTCCCCAATTTTGGTTATCTCAGTTTAAAGGGCGCACTGCAGCTTAAAGCGCACTGCAGTACGCATATGTGGCATGCATTATACAAACACCACACTGTCAAGCTGCCTTCAAACTATATTAAATGTTCAGAGTACATGTGCCCTAGGATAGAGAGTAATGGATTCCAACTACAAGGAAGAGAGATTCTACCCAAACATTATGGAGAATTTCCTGACAGTAAGAGTTGCTCAACAGTGGAAGACACTACTTCAGAGTATAGTGGAGTCCCCTTCTCTAGAGGCTTCAAAACAGAGGATGGATAGGAATCTATTGGGAATGCTTTAATTTATGCAGAGATATTTATGCAGGACAGTTGGATTGGATGGTCCCTGTGGTTTCTTCCAACTCTATGATTGTATCATTCTAACTTAATTGATTTCAAATTTCATTTTCCCAATCTTCTTTGCAAAAAATGTTTGTTATCTTCCTTTGGATCCTCTAGGATTGATCTAAACTACGGATAATCCTCTTTTCTTCTCAAGTCTAATAGTGTCAGACTATCCAAGTGCTTTTCCAATTCTTTGTTCATATCCCCAAATCTTTGATTCCAAAGTTCTCTTGTTCTCTCATTAATCTGCTTCTCTCTATCCCCTAAACCAGTGGTTCTCAACCTGGGGTCCCCAGATAATTTTGGCCTACAACTCCCAGAAATCTCAGCCAGTTTATCAGCTGTTAGGATTTCTGGGAGTTGTAGGTCAAAAGCATCTGGGGACCCCAGGTTGAGAACCACTGCCCTAAACTAATCAATTGACTCAAACCCCTTTGATCTCTCGCCTCATACAATCTGATTTATTTCTTCAGATCATCATTTTTCGAGTCTTCTCTTGCCTGAGCTACTTCAACTTTCTGAGACATTTCTGAAGCAGGTGAATCTATTGGTGGTCTCCTTCTTTCACTTCTTTCTGTAATAGATGTCATTATACAATGTTGGCTAAACAGCTCTTATTTTTTTCAATCAAATAATGATCACTATCTATTTATTTCCTATTCTTTTCTGGGAGTCCACCAGGTGGTATTATTTCAATCTCCACCAACTGCAATTCCTTTAGTCGTCCACTAGATGGTAGTATAATACCACGAACAAAAATTATTACCTGAATTTTTTTTCTATTTTTCAAATAGAAAAAAATGGTGGTAATTCAGCATGAAAGTTGCAAAGTGCACCTCAGAGGAAACAGTATAATCCACTCTCAGTCACCATAAAGTATTGTAAGTGCTTTATCTTATCTCTTCATTACCGAAACAACCAAATTTGTCCCGCAGCAAGAAATTCGTATTTCTTATTTATTTATTTTATAAAAAATTAGATTCTGTCCTGTATTAGGGTCCTAGCGACCCTAATTCATGTGATGAGCTGACTGAGTCCCTTCACTGCATGCATACCTAGCTATTTATTTATTTATTATTTGCTATATTTGTATACCGCCTTTCTCAGCCCGTAGGCGACTCAAGGCGGTTAACAGGGTAAAATCAATGCTTACAATATCATAAATAAAATTAAAAACGTAACATATAATAAAAACTACACATATCAATAAAATATAAATTCATAGTGCCACCTTGTTAAAAATGTTGTCCGGTCTCATTGTCATCGTTCCATTTTCCTATGTCAGTTATTCTGCATTTGGAAACGCTTGTTCAAAAAGCCACATCTTGACTTTTTTCCGGAATGTTAAAAGGGAGGTGGCCGATCTAATATTTATAGGGAGGGCATTCCACAGCTGAGGGGCCACAACTGAGAAGGCTCTGTCTCACATCTCCACCAAACGTACTTGTGACGAAGGTGGTAATGAGAGCAGGGCCTCCCCTATAATTCTTAGCCCTACCAAATACATTTTAAATTTGAAGGGAGTTCTTACAATGTTTTCAGTTCATGTCCCCAGGATACATTCAATGTCACTTGCTTTATTCAGCTAAAATGAAATGAAATCAACTTACAGGCAACCAAGTAGAGTGAGGGTAGCACTGCATAGCTGTGCTGAGACCCTGGAGGAAAACATGTCTTTTTGCTGGTCTTGAGCTCCCAGACCAGATAGATTTCCCTTTAGGAATAAAGGGAAAGGAAGGGTTGCCAGCAGCACCCCTAAACAAAACTGGGGATGGAAAAGCCACTGGTGAAGACACTTTATTTTTAGAGTTTTAAAGTTTTAAAAACTAATTTGAGTACTAAAAGAAGATCTATTATATGAATATTCTTCCACAGCAAAGGAATTGATTGCTAAAAAAACCTTCAATTGGGCTCACTTAGAATTTAGACTTTGTAGTGTTTAGAGAAGAACTAGTTGCTTGAACAAAAGGTTAACAACCATCGCCATCTGCTGGCTTTAAGTCATACAACAGAAACTGTTTAAATGGCTATGATTTGGATACAAGTTGTGGACCATAAACATGACTTTTTAAAGTTGGGTGCTCTTTCTTTTTCCTGTTTTCTACTCTGAGTGGACTTTTTGATAGCTTCTTTTTATGATCTCTTTTATTCAGTTTGTCTTATACCTTATGAGTAGAGGAAGAAACAATATCCTGGTTTAAGAGAGAGTAAGAGAAAGGGACAGAGATAAAGAAAGAGAAAAGAGAAGAATATCAATAACAACCAAAGTCCCACTGAAAGCTGTTGATAGGAATTTCTAGAAGAAATTCAATCTTTGCGGTATCAGATGAAAATAATGGACATAGAGGTAAAATCAGAAATAAAGCAAGTGAAAGATTATTTGGCATAAATGTCTTCAAAAATGAAACTCAAGTTCAAAATTTGCAAGACTGAATAGTAAAATTGAAACAATTAATAATTTTATTGATTATTGGGTAAACTACAACTCCCATCACCACCTATAACTGCCTCCAAACCTCACCAGTATTTAAAGGTGGTCTTGGTGAGTTTGTGTGCTAAGTTTGGTCCAGATCCATCATCGGTGGAGTTCCCGGTGCTTTCTGGATGTGGGTAAACTACAACTCCCATCCTCCAAAGTCAATCCCCACCAAAACCTGCTAGTAGTTGATCATAGGGATGGTACCAGGTTTGGTCCACATCCATCATCAGTGGGAGTCACAGGGATCTCTGGATGTGTTTTCCACATACAAACATAGAT